CATAATTTAAGAGAACAACTTTTTTCATTGATTATTGTTAACCATATTCTATAAATCATTTTAAAACTAGTAAAGCATCATTAACATGAACATCTTGACTGAGAGTGGAGAGTGACATCCAATTGGTATGAGTTATTCTTTATTTTTCTCATCTTATAATAATCAAATGAGCTTCTCAATTAGTCATATCTACCTCTGCATCATTACAGCAATCACGTAAGCGTTCTATTTAACTATTACAGTATTTTTGTGATACATGATTGTAAGTTTTTCAAAATCGTTAATGCAGCTTCATTATATTTAATATTTTAATCCCATGGAGATTGTACGAAAAGTTTTTTCCTCACGATCTATGTCCATTAGTTTTCTCTCTGTTAGCACAATAACGAATATTGATTCCACTTTATGGCAATAATATAAATTGATATCAAAGTATGTTGATAAAATATATTAAAGGTATTTTGTTAAATATTTATTTAATAGAAATGTTCTAATCTATGTTCTCTCATAGAAAAAGTCATTGATCTCAGTGATCAATTTTTTGAAAAGCAAAGCATTCGAAAACTAAAAAAAATACTATATAGATATGTAAGAAATCGTCTATCACACTGGCTATTCATTGCTACTAGTTACAACTTTGTTGTAGAACTTTTCACGCAGCATTTTGTGATATATTCTGTTTTTTTTTAATTAAACGTATTTAAAGATTGAAAAAATGAAATACAAAGTACTGACATTTATTATGAGTCACCTCTTATAAACCTGTTTGTATTTGCATCAATTTTTTATTTATACACACTTGCCTATCATTTTTGTACCAACACTTTATATATATAAGACCTTGATCAGATAAACGACTTGGTGCGAGAGCATTGTTATTCATTCTGTCGATTCTCTCATAAGGTCAACTAAACGCAGAAAAAAGAACGCTAATAGATATATTACCTTAATGTTAATATTACCTCTCATAAAATGAAAAGTAATAAAATAAATAACTCGAATACAGCAGTATTCATATATATTTATCCTTTTTTCTTTCTTTATTTTTATTTGTTACGTATATCTGACAAATTTCCGATAAAGATCGCAAAGAAGATAAAGTTCACACGTTTCGTATGATATTTCTGTCAACTTTGTCCAATTTTCCACCCTTTTTAAATACATATTTACATTTATCTCTTTAATATGTGTTTACAAGTATACATAGTTGATCTAGATGTTTTTTTATTTTGATTATTGAAGAAAGGTATTATAAAAAAAAAGGATCAAAGTACATGAAGAACATTACATGTATTTGATATAAATGTCACATTGAATTTTATAACAATAACAGTAACTTTAAGTTTCATTTTATATTTTTGTTTAATTTAAATTTAATATATATACAATAAATATGACATTTATTAATAAGTTTACTTAAAAGAAAGTTGACGTTTCGACAGATAATTTGCCATTGTCAAGACCAAATGTTATATGATTCATAACAAAATATATATACATGTATTGTCTCTCCAACCAGAAACCTTAGAGATATCTCTACCATGAACAGATTCATATAACATCTGATCTTGTCGAAACGTCGACTTTCTTTTAACTAAACTTATTAATAAATGCTAAATTTATTGCATATATATTAAATTTAAATTAGAAAAATATATAAAATGAAATTTAAAGCTGCTGTTAGTGTTATAAAATTCATAGTCAAATTGATATCCATAAAAAAAGATAATTATCTACAAATTTCACATTGATTCGATAATGTCAGATGCAGTTGGTATACGAAATACTATTATTTCAGACTCTATAAAAGTCAAGTCAATCCCTAGATTAGTCATATCTGAGTTTTACTTTTAATTTTCCTATTTTTTTTCTCTTGGTATTTGTTTAGTGAACAAAAGACTACATTGATATATAAACCCTATTTCAGCTTTCTGTACTCATGAACAATTCTTCGATCACCTTCATAAGAAAAATTGAATGGCACTATTTTTTTTATGAATCTTCCATTGAGATTGACCAGCTTTTGATTTAGTTTCGCCAAGTATGAATAAATTCGAATTAAATTTGGTTCAATACGAAATGTCCTACTAAGTATTAATCATTATTTCTTTGTCTTTTCACTTTGTTTTTTTTTTATGGCCAGTCAAAAAAGATCATAAAGATTTATTATTTCACATTAAAAATTTGGAAAAGGAGACATATTGATGTAATTGACCCTAGATTTAGCAAGATATATTCCTATTTTCGTTTCAATTCGGATTACACACTGCTTATACTTTCAGGAATAAAATCTCCCCAAAAAAAAATGATGATTTAGAATATTATTCTCCTGCAATTTTCTTTTTCGTTTGTTGCGATCTGGTTTTTACTAAATTGTTCATAACATGGTATTTGCACTTAAATTCACGTAATAATTCTTTTTAAGCTGGCCGTGTAAACGCCACAAAATCCAAGCTTTGAGTATGAACGCATATGGAGGTTCTTTCTTATAGAATATATATAGGTATATAAATGCTCAAAACATTTGCTTTATCACCATGTTCACACATCTTTATCACGCAAAACTCTAAATTTGACTTGTTTTTGGACGGGATTTTTACTGTCATGATTGAAACGATAAGTGATAACTGTTTTATTGCTTAAAAAATAATAAATGTTTTGATCGTTTTTTCATACAGATATTTTTTTGATTATTGATATTCAAAGCTGAAGCCTTTCAACCGTCACAACCAGATAATAATACATATGCTTTGAAGCTAAACTTTTCCCATTTATTTTGTTTAACATTTGAAACTGCGTGACAGTTTTCAATTGGTTGTAGTTTAATTTCAAATTTTAGTATGGTATTGCATACATTTAAGTATCACTTAGATACTTGTCGTTCTATGCACTAATGAAACAGGTTGGTTTTTTCAAAAAGAAGTATATATGAATTATTGCAAATAGTGTAGACCAATCAATTTCCAGTGTGTATATTTGCTGCTTATTTAATCCGGTTTTATACTAACATGCTTATGTAAAAGTAGAAAACTATCTCTCTTTTCGTCTTATAGTGCCATTTGTTTTTTTTTGTAAAGTAGATTTGTATAAGTAATTGCAATTTTGAGATTATATCACAAATGTTTGAGTTATCGATTATAATCCATACTGATTCACATGATATTCAACTATCACTACATGTTCTCTAATTATGATACACATAACCATCCTCAAACTTGAGTACAATTTTTCTTTTATTAATGTTCGTAAAAATGGAAGAAAGAAAGAAGAAAAAAAAATCGTCTGAGAATAATCATGTAGCTGTGATAATCACATCTGACAAAGTCAAATATCTAAATTCAGTATGGAACAAGATATCATTTTTTCTGTTTTTTATCTGTTGTAACTGTGGTATAGTAAGAAGATAAGCAATTAAGTAGATAAGTAGTTCGTTCTTTCTCTAATCAAAAGCCTTTCATCTTCTCTCTTTTATGAAACATGATCTAACATTTAGTATTAAAGTACAGAAGCTGACATTTGAACTTTCGACAAAAGATTAAGAATATAATGCTTAAACGACACAATCTACACCATGAAGACATGAAATTATCGGATGTCCTGAAAGTTGTTATCACTTAATAAATGTATATAACTTCAAAGTCCATGAACACTGTAGAAAAGATAGGACTTGTGGATAGAATACACAAATTAGGCTTTTTTCCATTTCGAAAACAGTATGCTACATTTTTTTCTTTGGTATTTAGTCGAATTTCAATCGCTATTACGATCTTTAGATGTTTCATTATTATCTCACAATTATTTTTCGCCATATTACAAAAAAAGGACGAATAATTGATGCATTTTTTCAAAGTAGCTTTTTTGCAACTCTTTGAAAACTTTTGTAAGCATGAAAACAAGTACGTTACACTATTTCATACGTTGTATACTTATTAGAATTGGCTTTCTTACTTTCTTTTCTCATGATTATATCAAAATAAGTGTTTAGAAACTGCCAAAGATTGATTCGAATAGTCTGAAGTTGGTAAGAACGATTGACATTCGACTAAACACCGAACAAAAAGCAGCATATTACTTTTGTATTCTAGCCACAAGTGCTACCTTTTTCTTTCGTGTTGATAAACTTGGTTTTTAAGAATGAAAACTTACTAGTCTTTTCTTTTGCCTAAAAAGAAAGATTTTGATTAAGCTGGATTGGTATTGCAGTTATATGCATTTATTAAGTGATCATGACTTATGGAACATCCGGTATACATAGAATGGCAGATAGATAGCTAGATTGGTGAGGTACAGGCAATTCGAATTTTATTACTGAATGCTCTTTTCAAGCCAAGAAAAAAAAGAATCAAAAACAACTTTTTTTTTCAAAATGTGCGACCTTTTCTGCACCATTCTTCTTGTCAGCTTTTGAAAATATTATTTTCAGATTCATCTTTAAAGACTGAGTATATGCAAGATGTTAAATCGATTTTAACTTTAAAAGTCTTATTTGTAGACCTATCTACTTTTTCTAGTTTAGCACGAAGATCAAGTGTTTTATGTTGTTCAATTCATTATGACAGCAAACACAAAATTACGCATCACTTTTCTTTTTTGGGTTAGTTCTCCTGCTGAAAAATCGTATTTATTTAATTTCCATAACTTTTAAAGCTAGTACTAAATGATTTTTTAATTTAAGCCAGGCTGTCATCAGAAAAACACATACGAATTCGTAATCAGTACAATAAGTTAGTTCGGATAAAAGCATTGAATATCAACTAAAAAGATTATAGTAATCAAGTCAACACGATTTCTCAGCGAGAGAACAAAATAAACAGAAAAACAATGCCTATTTTTGCGATTGTTGTGATGATGAATCGAATAAAATCATATCGTTACTTTTATGTTTGAAATCTATAATTTCAGCCAAATATATTTTCATTTCTCAGTATTACATGGATAATCGACGAATAATTTGGATGGCACTCATGTTTATGATTGGGCTGATTTAATATTATTATTCGATGAAGTTACCCTCACCTTCATCATCATCATTAGCATTGATGCCTTCTATATTACAATCAGTGCAGTAAAAAGTGGTAGAAATGAATGATCGTATTCCAACCTTCAAATAAGCAACCATTAATGAACAAAAGCCTTACGCAGATGGTTATCGAGCCCAAGCAACTATTATTAATAATCTCGAACTTGTGAAAAAGTGTATACAAGATCCATCACTTATTATTGTTGATGTTGGTGCCTTCCTTGGTAATCATATTTACTAATTTTTCAGATAGTACGAAGTCATACTTTGAATCTTAAAAACTCTCAGATAACTAAAACATTTTCATGCACGCATATTTGTGGAAGTTTTGCAAAACTATTAGCAGTAGAAAATCTTTTTTTTTTATTTGGAAATTCATTCGTTTTAGCAACAGAGTTTGTATTTTTGTAAAAGACTATTGTAAACATGGTATATCATTCATGCATCTCGCACATAACGATGCGTTTTAAATAATATACTACTTTAATTATATTATTCGAGTATATCAAATGAGAAAATCAGTATTAAATCTTACATCTTCTCTTTTTTGTATTAACAGGAGAGTTTGAATTATATGCTGCAGCATGTAATTGTCAAGTTTCGTTTTTTTAGGTTCAACCAAATATGGTTGATCTTATGCGAACATCGATATCACTTAATAATTTTTCTAATTCACGTGTTCAAGTTATACAAAAAGCCGTCATTGATTTACCTTCTAATTCTTAAATAACATTTTCTCATAGTGGTGGTACAACTACAATATCTAATGGAACGTTGTGTGCATCTGCAATTCGTCTTGATGATGTAGAATGGCCAGAAAAATCGTCTATTCTTATGTTAAAAATTGATGTTGAAGGTTTTGAACTAAATACACTTCGTTCAACCGAAAAATTATTTCGTGAAAAGCGTATTCATCATTTAATCTTTGAATATACAGCTTGGTGAACTGATCGAGCACCACAAAAAGATCTGATACCATTTGTTGAAAAAATCCTTACTGTGAAACAATTATTTGCGTTAGATCGAACAGTTAATGCTGTTTATGGACCATTGACTTATGATATACTAAATCAATTTCATGATGATCATGCCAGACGACATCTTCAAACTGATATCTATATGCTACTTTTATTGAGTCAAATGAAAACTATACTTTAACAGTTCAACCGTACCAGTTAGCAATATCATTCGCATGATTCATGCTGTTTTCAACAAAGATTACTCAAAAGATCAATCTGATGAGCATTTATGTCTTAACAAATTCTAACAATATAGAGATTTTAACAACTCATCGTTCAATTTCTAATTTAGAAAGTTTGACACAACATGTACGAAAGCAGTTTTTTTATCTGATCATTTTTTTATTTATAACAGCAGCTAGATTCTTTTTGCTTTTTTTTTAATAATGAAATATAAATAACTTGAATGTCTATACTTGAAAAGAAACTGAATTCATCTCGAGTGAGTATTCAAATTGACGAATTTATTTTTATTTTGTTAAAACTTTTCAACATCTTTAAGAATTAAGCTGGCGAAAAGTAATTAAAATATGTCTTGATCTTGAATTTTTCCTTCGGGTAGTATGTGAGTGTACGTGTCCGTTACCACTTTTATGAACAGAAGATCTGCTTCCCCATCAACTTCCAATATTCACAGACAACCTTACAACCTCCTCTCATAATAAAAGGATCAGACTTTATATTTCATTTATGATCCTTCTTTCTAACTTCTGAATGCATGCGAATATACACCATTGTGTCATCTTGTCAACTATTCCTATATCTGTATAAATATATGGTCAAACGAAGGAGAACAATCTTGAGTAAAGAAGGGATGAGAAATCTTAACAATCTCTTTCAGTCTCTATTTTGATAATGTGCATTTGAGGTCTACACAATTTATTTTATCATGCATTTCACTATTCTTTTCTTTTTATAATAGTGCACATATATGACCTTATCTCATAGTTGCGAGTCAAATGAGTTTGATGATAACATCGAAAGAAGTATCTAAGTAATACAACGTATACAATAGACAGAATTTTATTGAGTAAGAGACTTAAGAAAGTTTCATAATTGACTAAGGAGAAAGTCATGCTTTTTATTTTTCATTCTTAGATTGGTTGGTTATTAAACAGCTAGCGAAGTTGATACAACACAATTGTAGTAAAAAAAAACACTATTCGAAAATCATGAATATTAAAATATATCAGGTGGATGCCTTTACTGATCAATTATTTGGAGGTAACCCAGCAGCGGTGTGCCCACTAGACAAATGGTTATCAGATTCATTGATGCAACAAATTGCTGTTGAAAACAATCTTGCTGAAACGGCCTTTTATGTGTCAAATTCTATCAATGATGGTTATGAACTACGTTGGTTTACACCTGAATACGAAATGGATCTTTGTGGTCATGCAACATTGGCGACTGCACATATCATTTTCACTGAAATGTCTCCAACAAATGAAGAAATCAAGTTTGAAACCAAGGAAGCGGGAGAACTTACAGTTACCCGCCACAAGGAGAATTCTTTATATACTCTTAATTTTCCAGCCCGTCCGACAACAAAGGCTGATTTGCCTGATGGTCTGTTGCAAGCGTTACGTAGTGTTAAAACTCCTATCGGAGTTTATAAAGCGAGAGACTATATGCTGGTTTATGAAAACGAGTCTGATGTCCAACAGTTGTCACCAGATTATACGGCTTTAGCTAAAATTAATGATGTTTTTGGTGTGATTGCTACTGCTCCTGGTGATGAAGTCGATTTTGTTTCGCGATACTTTACTCCGGGTGCCAGCATTCCTGAAGATCCCGTTACTGGTTCAACACATTGCAATCTAATCCCTTATTGGTCTGAACGATTGCGTAAAACTAAGCTGCACACTTACCAGATTTCGGTGCGTAAAGGAGAACTTTGGTGCGAAAACAAAGGCGACAGAGTACTGATATCGGGCAAAGCAGTCACCTATTTGAAAGGTGAAATAAACATTTGAATTTGCATGCTAAATTTATTGACAAATTCATTTCTTCATTTGTAAAATCTAACATTTTTTTTGTATTAACTTTAGACAGTGAAAATATTGGAATAGAATATGATTTGATGTTTATCAACAAATGTAGAATGAAAAGGACTCATATTGTATCAATCCATAGTGTTAATGACTCATCTAAATTTACTGATATGTCCTGAGGAAGTTTTTAAATGTTGCCCTGCAATTCATACTTCTGGAGAAGCCAGAAAGCATTTAATCATCTTTAAGAGAGACGTCAATAACATAAAATTCAGGCGATGTTGTCTAGATAGAGCTAGAATTTCTAATGAGTAAGTTGATGTTCATGTATATGCATGCTCCTTAATGAGACGAACTGATTTCTCTATCGATTAGCATCACAGAGCAAACAAACTGTAACTCTTATCTAAGATCATTTCATTAGTATTGTCAATAGTACTCGGCAATATTTCGATAGTCCTAGTCTTTTGTTTTTACGTATTCTTCCAACAAGTAGATATATAAAACACCACAGAATGATAAACTATGTAATAGTTGAACATCTAATTCAATGACGTTGTCTGTTCAAGGTCTTGTAATACCGATATTTACATAAATCTGTATAGAAATTCATTCGCCGTAATCATCACCGATTGACTCTAGCAAGCACTTGAATTTGGTCTGTACTTGATATTGCATAATGAATTACATCTCGACGTTTATCGAAGTCAGCAATGAAGAATACAATCGATTTCTCTTGTTTTTATTCGCGAATATCATATCGTACGAACTGATCTTTTCCTCTTTCTTAGTCATTTGAACGAGATATTGAACTCAAAGATTCATTATACTCAACACCGACCATGAAGAATCAACCAAGAAAATAAACAACTTTATCATACTAAAAATGAAATGAAAATTTATTTGTTAATTTTACTTTTTGTATTTATTTATCCGAGTTTTTGCAAATTTTTAATTCTTATAAAAATAAAAAAAACAATTATTTTAACGGTTGAGTAAATTAGACACGATGCAAAGTTCATTTGAAGTGATCGAGCTCTACTAAAAGTTCATGATTGAGTTTTGAGTGTGAGAATGGATGCTGATTGTAGGTGTCGATGCACTTATAGAGATCGTTGAAACCTACACCACACCCAAATTCAGTTTATCTTTTCGAGCATCAATTATGATGAATATTTTTTTTTTCAATAGGAAATAATACTTATAAGTGAAGTTTTTTAGATGACTTTGCATACTTTTTGACTATAAAGTCCTATTGAGTTCTGCTGAAAATGTTAAAAAGTACTAAAAGTCACTAGGAACAGTGAAAATTAGTAAAAAGATTTCAATTTATTTTGTTGCATCAATATTAAAAGTACTTGATATTATTCTTTTACTCTTTTGTTACATGCGTAAAATAAACTAAATCTTGCTTTACTATTTTTCACTGTTCCTAGTGAATTTTAGTACTTTTCATAGTTTCAGTACTACTTAATAATATTTTTGGCGTACTTTTTAGACTTCCAGGAGTAATAATGAGTACTTTTGAGTCAAAAGTATGAAAGTCAATTAAAAATATTTATACTTATAGGTACTATTTTCTGTTTAAAAAAACTATTGAAAGCAGTTGAGAGTGACTTTTTGGATCAAAATTTTGATACAGTATGTCATATATATTTGAAAGGAAAAAGAAAATACAGATCAAAGAGACACGCAAACAACATAATCAAACAAGAAAAAAATATTTTGAGCTTCTATTTTGCCCATTGAATATTTATATATGTTAACTACAATAGATACGAACTTATCGAAATAGTAACTCTAAGAAATATTTTCTATGATAAATGATAAACTTTCACTATTACGAATAATTTCATGATTAATTGACCACTGGTTACCGTCGGTTTTTACAAAAAAAATGACATGACATTCTATTCGATGTTCGAATTTCATCTTACTTAGTTGGAATATCGAGTTTGATCGTTTGTAAATAGTTTAATATGTAACTATCAGTCTGAAGTTCTACTTTTGAAGAAATGGTTTTATTCATTGTACCAATGCATAATTAGAATTCAATGAAAAAGTATATCTTTCATTGACATTTTCGAACAATTCTATGTTTTTCGATCTATAAAAGAAATATTCGACAGCGAAAATTTAGAAAAAATGTATAGCCTTTGGAATAAGACTACTTGCAAATGAAGATATAGTACGAAAATTGACCTAGAAGACTTAAGATGTGAGACTATGCAAATGGTTTTCGTTATCATTCAATATGCAGATGATTTTACTATTGAATAAACAAGCAGAGTTATTTGAAAACTTTATCTTGACCAATTTTCTAGCATTGAAATGATCTACTCAGTTTTTTATTTAGTTGTCATTCGTTGTTTCATTGTGAAAATGAATACACAAGTTTTGTTAAATATTTATCGATGACTCCAATTATCTCAATTCTCAAGTTATTCTCAATTGAGCATCCTTTTCAGATCTCTTTATTACAATCCTGAAGAGTATACCATGATCTATCAATATGTTTGTCTGTTTTTGTTCTTGAAAACTTCGTTCTACAAGATAAAACTGTACCATGCGTTTTTTTTCAGGAGCCAGTGTAATGTAGCAAAATGCCTTAAATTGTTCGTTCTTCCTCACAATTCATTGCATTCGATAACATCAATAGATAAGAAAATAGTTTCCATAAGTAGTGCACAATAATACTTCAGTATTACTAGACATGCAACTCTCCTGCACAGTGCAACAAGTATTAGAAAACAAAATTACATGATTAGATTTGGATCGAAATCGGAAAGAATGGCTATTTGACTATGTGACACAATGACTTTCATCAATATATATAAACTTATTGCTTCTATAATATACATTACGTTGCCCACATTTTCTAATCTCAATTGAAAACGTTCATTCTTCTCTTAACTTGTGTCGCCTTTAGGGTACACAATGAACGCTAACTTGTTGAGCTGTTGTATAGCAAAATAATCAGACAATAAATAATACAATGTGGCATTGTGTGTCAATTTGAAATTTTGACGGCTGTCAATCCCGTATTGCATGGCTTTAATAGATAACATTCATACTCACCTATGCTTATCACTTATTTCTTTAGTTAACAATAAAAAACAAGTGCATAGTCTACTGCATTTCTGCATACATGATAAGCCAGATAAACCACTTTTCTCTATCAGATTTATATCTGCTAAATTATCTTTATAAGCATGTAGAATTTCAGTTTATTCGGCTCAAGTTTTGCTTCACGTTGCATGCTTTACTCATGTGATTTTGATTTATATAGCAATATTTTAAGACTGCCATTTATGCCTCTGATTAACTCTCATTACTATAGAAATATTAGAAAAATCAATGTTGAGTAACTCAAAGCCGTCAAGAAAAGTTGAATGCATCTCATGGATGAAATTAGTTCTTGCTGTTATTCCATCTATTGTCTTTGGTATCTTCACCATTGTATTCACACTTCAGCAAAATTCTTTATCGAAATTGACCATCGAATTAGAGCGACAGCAAGATATACAACAACGAATGCGGTCTATTTTCGAAAATTGTATCGACGCAATCACTAATGTCCTTATTAGTCCAGACTTTAATGGCAGTAATGTCGGACACCTTCGACCAATACGAGAGAAAGTACTTGCTGCTCTCCGTCATCTTGATGCGACACACAAGCGAGATATCATATTTTTTCTGTACACAAACAAATTGATTCATATAGACACTTCACCTGAATATCGATTAGATTTGCATGGTGCCGATCTCCACGAGGTACAGTTTATGAAGTCGGAGACCATTGATTGCGATCTGCGGTATCTATATCTACGAGGTGTGTACGCCTTCAATGCTGTCTTCGCTGATTGTGAACTTAGAAGCGCGGATTTTGGGGACAGTGTGATGTACGGAAGTCGATTTAATAATTGCTTCTTGGAATACTCTGCTTTTACGAATGTTGATCTCACAAGAGCTACGTTTGTTAATACCAATCTCTATAGAGTGAATTTTGCGGGCGCATCTTTATTACATGCGTCATTTTTAAATAATTACCTGTTTTTGAATATTAATTTGACAAACACAAATTTATTTCAAAGCAATATTAACAACCAGGATCTTTTGGGAACCTTACCTTCTGGACTTAGCAATACAAATATAATACTCAATACTCGCTTCCCTAATGGATCCTTTTTAATCGATACATCACAATTGATTATAGATAGTGGAGCTGAAGAAAAGGTATGCTATCTGTATTTGGTGGAAAGCAAAAATAATTTTGCAGTTCTCTTTCGTGATAATGCATTCCTAATGAAAGAGAAGTTGTTGGTAAATCCTAATATGTTATCCTTAGTTAGCTATTCCATGCACATTCAACTCGTTCACTGATTTTGATCTTTCAAGCGTTTCATGGAACAGTATTTTAAAAAGAATTTATACTTTATTATTCTTCCTCTTTTGTAGTGCGATGCTCGAGCTCTCAGTTTACCCACTGGCTGGTATATATCAACACATGAATTACAGATGGGAGTACGCAAACAAGCTGAAAATTCGAGCACCCATCCTTTGGCGATCGAAGGTAGCTGTTACTTTATAGCAGAAAAGATTGGTATTCTCAGTCAAGACATACATGTACGTCGGTTTTCAAAGCTCATTGATAGTGGCCGAGCTTTATTGAATATGTCAGTTCACTTTGGTTGCTCTCAGGCCCATCAAAATGATGAAGCAATCATGTATCTCGGTTATTTAGATGAACGTTATCAACCCATTCTTGTCGAACAACCAGGTAAGATCTTCGAAAGATTCCAATCACTTGAAAATATTCATATAATTTTATTCCCATAGTTATACGAACAAATAACAAGCCGTTTCAATTTAAATCACGTGTTGCATCTATTCCAATCGGCACACGCACAATCAAAGTATATATTGGGGCAAGCATTCCGAACTCGACAACAACCGACATTCTTCAATATTGTGTATTCGATGCAGTTAAATTATTTATTTTCGACAACAATTCAAATCCATAGTTATGCTGAAAGATTTTCTTGTTTGAACTTTTCTACCTAATACAGTGAACGTTGTAATAACTTTTTAGATCATGATTTTCTGCGAGGATGTGAATTTGAGTGTCGATATAGAGAAGATCCACACCCTTAACTAAAGTCTTAGAAAAATATCTGAAAATTACATGGAAAATTTTTCAATGATTATTTAAGAGTGGAAGTATATCTAGCAACCATTTTATGAAATCATGCTCAACAAGTGACGCGAACATATTTCATTGAGTCGCAAATAAAATAACGTTATTGCTATTCGAATTTCACGTTCAAGAACTCTCGAACTTGCAATGAGTTGTGCAAAAAAAATATTCAGTGATTGAATGTTAGCCTTTCATTCATTTCTATTCATTAAAAATATCAAACAACTATATATTTCTTTCAACCATTTCTTTTTACCTTTCCTTCTGATTGTACGTTGATGTGAGGGTAAATAAAAGTTTCACGTGTAAGCTCATTGTTTTTCGAGCGTATATAAACACCAAAAGCAAACATAACAAAGTGAGTGTGGGCAGCTGTTTATATGCTGCATACAAATACAGTCAGTAATTTTTCAGCTTTTCATTTTCATTGCGGCACAAGTAGTTTCGCAGGCGATGACAACCGATCATGAGTATGTAAGATAGCACAATAGACTTTTGTTTTCAGAATAATCGTCCAAGATTTCCTGAAAAGTTTGTACTAGATAACGGCATGCAAGAATATATGAACGGTTACTGCTAACAATTAAATAGAACTTTCGAAGTTAAATCAAAGTAAATATCATAAAAAGTAAAATAGAAGATAAACTGAGTAAATCAATGAAATTTCTTTATAGTGCGTAAAGACATCAGATGCAATAATAATAGGTGGGTGTGAGTGTGAGCCAGAACTGCTTACATTTAAACAAACACCCACACCGTCTTGTTCCGTATCCCTATTAAACATTATACAAAGAAGTAAACAAGAACAAATAGACTACTAAAAATGCCTATTAATTGTAAAAGTGTATATATATATATATATATATATGTTAATGTAATAATTGTAAGAATCTTTTTTTGTGTTTTTGTCTGATGAAGTTGTTTTTCAAACAAACGAAACGTCACTTTATTAATTTTTATGAAATAAATTTATTGTAAAATTATTTAAATATTAATAGGGAAGAGAATAAATTATGTCTACCAATTAGTATTCATGATTCCTGCGAATAAATTTGATAATGGAAATGATGCCGGCATATGTTACTGTTAAATATTGGAACAAGTTTTTCGTGTGTATTGTTTTGATAGCACGTTATAGTTACTTCTTTAGTATCACTCAACTATTCTGTGTATTGTATGATATAGTCGCGACATATCTTGATCATTTTGATACCGCTACCATGTTATCGATGGTTAATTTTTGAGATACAATCATTTGTTTCAATGTGCTCGATAAAAATGGATGGTTCTTTGGCTAGATCAGTATATTTAAACTGAGATTCATTTTTGACCTAATCGCAAGTTATTCGGATGCTGTGTTGTATGTAATAAATGAATGGGTAATAATTCTTTCTACTATTCAATTTTGGTATGCATCAATTTATCTCAGACAAGTGGAATTTTTTTGGCGTCATTATGATAAATGAATTCAGCTGTGTTCAAAATTCTTCTATTTCTATGTGATAATTCGTTTTAAGAAGAAAATTTTGTGTTTGAATGGAAATGTAGTAGCCGAAACAAAACATGATCTACAGTGTCTATTTTCCCCGTGGTACTCAATGTTTCATTGATTTAGTTTTCGACATTACACGCATTGAATTATAGAATATTATTTTTAACAATGAAAGATCTATCATTTTGCAGCAACGTGAACATTTAAAAAGGTGCGAACAATCGAAACTACAAGTAAATCTTTTTCCTCACTTTTTTAGATCACTTGATATAGCATAAGCTGCTGATGACGAAAACTACTTTTTAGCTCCAGCAAGTGCTTTTTTCGGGTGAAAAAACACGAAAAACTTCATCGATGTCGTTTTAACGGAAGGCATGTCTTTTTCACAATGTGCAAAATTCTCTTCTTCCTTGTTTTTTCAGCTTCTGAAAATAAATTTTCAAATTCAGCATTTAAAACTGAGTATATATAAGTTGTTAAATCGACTCTAACTGCGAAATATGCTTGACAGTGATGCGTCAAATTGCACTAAATGTAATACATATGGATCGATTTTGTAAACCTATCCAGTTTTTCTGAGTAACTAATGAAGCCAAGGGTGCATGTAGATGGGTGTGGGGTGTGGATGTGGGATAAAAGTACACCAACATCCTTAATTACCATATTAAATTATATATAAAATTGACGATAGCATTCAGCTAGAAAATTTTCATAACAAATCATTTTTACACATTTGTAAAAAAATTTGATAGAATAAACAACATTCAATGTAGATGCAAAGTGAATCGATTATATTTGTATACTTCTCAATTAACTATCATTAGATATTACTTTGCATCATATATTAAAATAACTTTCAACTAAAATTAAATTTATCTCAACGAAAGACTCGATTTATTCATCTTTGGTTTTCATTAGAAAATGATACTCTTTGAAATCGAAATTTTAACATGAACACACCCTAATGTGTATGTCCGCTCGACTATCGAATCAAATATTATTAAATTCGGTATTGATTGTGTCTTGTGACAACCAGTTCAATTTCGCTTATTCTACACAAACTATGAACACTTATATACCAGGTAAAGGATAAAATAATATGTTCGACTCATTCGAAGTCTGTCCCAATTCGAATTTTGGTACATTTTCTGTACAAAATTGAGTGCAGATTTAAATGTGAACTCGTTCCATGCTGAATTTTTTTTTCTGCGAAAGTTGAACGTTGAGAAATTCTAAGGCTGCGGGTCTCATTGTCTTAATGTACTATCGTTTATCAAAATGTCATTTAAAAATGCTTGCAGTAATCGTGATTACTAACGAAAGCCGTCGAGAGAGAGTTGAAAAAGATAAAATTCTTTATTTATGAGAATGTTGACTGTGTAGAAAAAAAGCGTTGGTGTTGATGATAATATTTGGTTTCTCTTCGTTCAAACTCTGTAAAAAAACAGAAATGGTTGTGGGTGTATCACACACCTTCATCATAAATCATGAAAAATCAGAACATTACAAAAGAATCAAGAAAGTAGTACCGCTGTGAGGTCTAGATTTGTGCCACAATTTAGCGTTTGATCTACAAATGTCATTATCAGACATAGAATTAAAAGAACAGATTGCAATGAAAATTTTTTGCTTCTTATTATTTTTATTTTTATCATTTACTACGGTGGTTCCCCTTAACTTTTTCAATTCCGACATTCACTTGCGTTTGAAATCTAGCATCATTATTGATAGTCATATCTAGAGATGTAAACCAAGCGACTGAGCTACCACCGCCACCGTGGCCCTAAGAAAATAGTCAACTTTCGACGCTAACGATCACTTTTCGGGCACTTTTTTCTTATAAAAAGACCAAAAATACCTGCTTTCAACTGACATTATATGATTTAAAATTAATTGAAATCAAATGAAATCTATCTTTGAAACTGAAAAGCAAAAGTTTAATCAGCGCAGTCACAAAATGACTAATTTTAACCTATTTTTTCGTTATTTGTTCTGTATGAATAATTAATTTTAGGTATAGTAACTCGTAGTATGACCTGTGCGTCCAAGAGTGGCTTAGCGTTGTGTTTACCGTTTGTTGAGCTGAGAAGCTTGAGAAATTTTAAAAATTTGAGTTTCTAAATTAAAATTCGAGGAAAGCGCATTTGACAAACAACGTGATCAAAATCAATCAGATAATGAATAATGTGATAGTATTTTCTATCTTTTTCATTTATTTTGCATTTTACAGTCGACACCGCTGAACATTTAGCAAAAATAAAATTTTTTCTGTCACTACTGCCGATCAATGCATCAGCTTACACTTCTAGTCATAAGGAATACTTTTCTCGAAAAACATTTTATGATATCCGTCTTCTAAAACGATGACAGAACGTTAAATAGTTCTTTTCTGTCAAATATAACATCTCACAGATGGTATGCGAGATAAAAAGGGTTAATGTCAAAAACTGTTACTGTTCATTTTGTACATAATTCAATAGCATAAACATATACGACAATGAATACATCATGTGGTTTTCTATGAAAGAAAAAACATCATAATGAATAATAAAAATAAAATTAATAAAGAGCAACATATTTTCATTGCAGATTGTTTTTTAATCCCATGTCTGATGATGCCGTTTGTGAAGGAAACGTCGAAACATTACACAAATCTTCGACATTAAACAAAATATATCAGATTCAACGGATTATTTATGCTGTTAAAAACAAACAGTAAAAATTTCCTATGCATATGATTCAAGTTCAAAATTTTTAGACATTTACTGTTTGACGATGAAACATTACGCACAAAAATATTTATTGTTATCAAAGGATGACTATTTTTACAGGACAATTACGAAGATGAGGATACATAAAAATCATAAATCAATATTTAAGTCTTCTGGTCATTTTCGACTCAACTGTAATCTAGCAATGGTTTCTGCCAGAGTGTTTAGTGGTCGCGTCGCAACGATTCGTGGATCATTTGGAGAAACAGTTCCCAGAAAGTGTCGTGTCCATAGAACATGTCGAGTTACGAATAATCGGAGCTCATGTCGAAACGTTTTCGAGACAATGATATTAGTGTAAAGAGCTGATGATGCCGTAATATATAAAAGAAATTGACCTCCAAAATAGTTACAAAAATTCTGTACGTCAAGCTGTTGTGGAGTCTTTGTCCAAGTGAGTGTTATTGAACCGTACAAACTGTTGAGAGGGACTGGTATATTTGATATGCAATAAATCGTCACCTCGACTAGAAGCATTCTGAACAATTGATAATCGTGCACTTTCATACGAGCAGGCACATGTTTACTGGTGTTGCTATCAGCAAGCTTGACGTTATGTTTGGT